GAAAAAAAAAAATGCCACTTTACTGAATTCCTGTATGAGTTCTAGCAGTTTTGGGGTGGAGCAAAAAAAAAATTCCTCAGAAAGTATCATATAAAAAAAAAAATTTTAAAAACTGGCTAATTAAAAAAAAAAATTCTGATTAGCTGACTTTTCGTGGTTTTTATGTTTTTAAAACATTAGGTAAAAAAAAAATTAGAGGTGTTTTGTAGAAAAAAAAAAAAAATTGTCTATGAAAATGGACAAATATAAGCTCAAAATGGTTTTATTTTTGTAATCATATGATTCTCAAGAATCACTTGGTGACTTTTAGAACTAATTATTCTTTATAAGACAAAAAAAAAATGGATACATTCTTTCAGCTGAAAAAAAAAAAAACATTTATTTCATATTGCAAAAAAAAAATAGTAATCTTTAAAGATCTCTAATAAAGGTGGCTGGTGTGATGAGCAGAAAGGGGCTCAGGCCTAGATGTTAGAAGGCTTGAGTTCTAATCTTGACCCATTCCACAGCCAGGAATATTTCTGGAACTCCTCTGTCTTCTGAAAAAAAAAATAGACTAGACTATATTGTAAAAAAAAAAAAAAATTATTAATGAGTTATTTAAAAAAAAAAGCTAAGTTTTTGAAATCTGTAGGTATTTTATCACCTCCAGTTCATCTCAATTCAGATGCTGAATTTTATTAGAAATACCTATCTGTATTTGGAGTATATAAAGTTTACAGAAAAAAAAAAAGATTCACAAGTTGTTTCAAAAAAAAAAAAAAGTTTCACCTAGGGGCACCAAAAAAAAAAAGTGGGTTAAGCGCCCGACTAAAAAAAAAAACTCAGGTCATAATCTCAAGAAAAAAAAAACGAGCCCCACGTGGGCTGGGAAAAAAAAAACTTAAAATTCTCTCTCTCCCAAAAAAAAAACCCCTCCCCCCCACTCACGCAAAAAAAAAAAATCTCTTGAAAAAAGTTTCAAAAAAAAAATCTGAACTGAATTATCAGTTAAAAAAAAAAATGACAATTAAATAAAAAAAAAAAAAAAAATAGTCACACTAGCCATATTTAAAAAAAAAAATAGTCACATGTAGCTAGGGAAAAAAAAAAGAAACAGCACAATTTTTTAAAAAAAAAAAATTCTAAATCTACTTCTTACCATTTATATAAAAGGTACCTATCTTGTATCTGACCCATTTATCAGGTCTAGGAAGGTGAGGAAAAAAAAAAAATTTGTGGCTAACTCAAGTAAAAAAAAAAGTTGTGACTTCCTCAGTGTAAAAAAAAAAAAGAGAGACCCACTGTTGAAGAAAAAAAAAATGAAGGGTAGGATGCCTTTAAAAAAAAAAAATTCTTTAGGGTAAATTTTGAAAAAAAAAATTTAACTATGACTGCCTATAAAAAAAAAAATTATAAATACTTATATTTACAAAAAAAAAAAATATGTTGTTTTGTTCACCAAAAAAAAAAAAATTGTGGGAAAAATTAGTAAAAAAAAAATGAGTTTTTAAGTCAAGCATAAAAAAAAAAGTAAAGATAACTAACAAGGAAAAAAAAAAACTTAAACATTAGATTTTATCTGGAGAGAATACCTTAGGAAGTTTAATTATAAAAAAAAAATTGGAAAATTTTAAATTACAAAAAAAAAAATTGTTTATTCTAGAATGCCTAAAAAAAAAAATTTGACATACTTTTATGTGAAAAAAAAAACTTTCCATAGATATGAAGCAAAAAAAAAAACATTAATCAATATATTTAATAAAAAAAAAATATCTATTTTATAAAACATTAAAAAAAAAAATATAAATTTTTAGTACTATAAAAAAAAAAAATCAATGAAAATGACTAATAAAAAAAAAATGTATGATGGGATATTTGTAAAAAAAAAAATAGATAGTTCTTTAATGTGAAAAAAAAAAACAGAAATTTTTGTTTTTATTAAAAAAAAAATCTGATTAAGACATACAGTGAGAATAATCTGTAAGGCAATCAGAATGCAGAAAAAAAAAAGTAATGTCTACTTTATGAAAAAAAAAAAAAGCTATGATCACTAAAGCAACAAAAAAAAAACAACATAATAAAAACAGTCTAAAAAAAAAAATACTAGCCCTGGATCCAAGAAAAAAAAAATGAAAATACCCCTTCTGTGCAAAAAAAAAAATAGCCTTTCAATGTTTTGCAAAAAAAAAAGCACAGTCTTGTGAGTTGGTAAAAAAAAAATTGATAGTCTCTAACCCTATAAAAAAAAAATTACTGGAGCATAAGTATTCAAAAAAAAAATGAGGTTTCACTGATAGAATAAAAAAAAAAAAATATCTTATATTGCATCTAAAAAAAAAACTGTGCTGAACCTTTTCATAAAAAAAAAAAAGAAAATTTTCTTTTTCAGGAAAAAA